AAATTCCTAAATTCCTAAATTCCTAAATTCCTAAATTCCTAAATTCCTAAATTCCTAAATTCCTAAATTCCTAAATTCCTAAATTCCTAAATTCCTAAATTCCTAAATTCCTAAATTCCTAAATTCCTAAATTCCTAAATTCCTAAATTCCTAAATTCCTAAATTCCTAAATTCCTAAATTCCTAAATTCCTAAATTCCTAAATTCCTAAATTCCTAAATTCCTAAATTCCTAAATTCCTAAATTCCTAAATTCCTAAATTCCTAAATTCCTAAATTCCTAAATTCCTAAATTCCTAAATTCTCAAATTTCCAAATTCCCGAATTCCCAAATTCCCAAATTTCCAAATTCCCAAATTCCCAAATTTCCAAATTCCCGAATTCTCAAATTCCTAAATTCCCAAATTCCCAAATTCCTAAATTTCCAAATTCCCAAATTTCTAAATTCCTAAATTCCCAAATTCCCAAATTCCCAAATTTCCAAATTCCCGAATTCCCAATTTCCTAAATTCTCAATTTCCTAAATTCTCAAATTCCTAAATTCCCAAATGCCTAACATCTCAAAACCTCTAACGAACGAAAACCCCTGACGAATCCATATTTCAACTACAAAATTGAAACATTTCTTCTTTTTCTCACTACATCATTACATAATCATACGATGATTTAGCAATTTATCGTTTCAAAATATTTGCAGACAGTATGTTCAGCTATTTCTGTAGGACGATGATTATTAATGATTTTAGAAGGCAACAAACATACCGCATTTCATTCGAAGTTTCGTAAATTTGACCATGACTTAATTTTCCCGTTTAATTTCGGACGATTTGTAATGATTTAAGACAACCTTGAAATATTAGGTATATTTTAGATTTAGCGATCTTCAATTATATGTACAAATTACAATTGATATCGAACTCACTTGAACTGTAACGTGCGTCACTGGTCTGACTCGATGTTATAAGCCAAGGGGTTAAATAAGATTTTACATCATCAACGTCATCAACAAATTTACTGCCTTTCTTTTAGAACTTTATTTCCATATATGGCACACAACTTCTTGGAGTTTATGGGAAAATCTCAATAGCCAAAATTCTGAGTAACCTAACTCAACCTGTTAACTGCGTTTGATAAATATATTTGTCATTTAGTACCCTGCTTGTGTTGTGTTGAATGAGTATAGCTCATTCTTTGTGAGTATAGCTTTCTATAATATAGAAATTATAGCTCTCGGGAATTTAGTTGTTGGGATGTTAGCTGCCGCGATATTAGCTGTCAGGATTTTAGGTTGTTGGAATTTTAGGTCATCGCGATTATAGTTTATCGGGATTTTAACTGTCGGAATTATGGGTGTTGTGATGTTGGCTGTCGAGATTTTAGTTTCTCGAGATCATGTATGTCAGAATTTTGGCTGTCGAGATTACAGATGTCGGAATTTAGGCCGTCTGAATTTTTGACTGTCAAGATTTTGGACTGTCGGAATTATGAATGTCGGAATTTTGGCTACCGAAATTTTAGGTTATCGCGATTTTGTGGAAATTTCGACTGTTCGGATTTTGAATGTCACCGACCTTCTTTTTATGCTACGCGCTCCTTTTTGTAAATACTACAATAAAACATGTCTGAAATGCGTATTTCGTTCTTGCAGTTTAAAACTGGTACAAAAACGAAACTAAATCACTACAATTTTCTTGTTAGTTAAATCTAGAAGTCCGAAATAAAACTGTTAAAATACTCCCCGAAGAATTGTTCAGTTTTATTTAGATTTAAGTGAAATTGTATAAGTTTGGATTATGTATGTTCTGAATGTAAAATAACCATGGTTATTCGTTATGTTGCGAATTGTGTGCGATTGTATTGTCAGTGCAAAGGTAGCGATAAGTTTATTTGTAGAGCGAAAAAGGAGCGAGCGAGATAACATTTGTTAATTTTTGAGAAGCGATGCCTAGCTGGCGATCTCCTTGCGTGCACAGGGGCGCTTCGGTGAACCTGGGGCCGTTCAAGCCACGGCTAGGAGAGGTGCTGTATGTATCGTCCTGAGGCCGGTATGACCCTGAGAGGGAGATGACGAACGTCTCCGGTAGTGAGGGACAGTGGACGGAGAACCACTTGGTTGTTCTCTAGAACCTTTAGGCTGGTCTAGGAGTAAACCGCTATGGTAGACAAGGGTAGTATTCGGGAAAAGTCGGAAAGGTCCGAGCGTGTTGCGAACATTGCTTGGGCGAGGCCCGTATATTATTAACTTGTCGGTTGCAGAAGTAGAAGCTACCTTGCTCGCTTTCTTGCAAGAAACAGAAGTTACATTCGAAAAATCAATTATATTTCCTAACGTTATATTGTTCCACGATAATAATACTTTTGCGTTTAATATATTTTGTAAATTCAATCTATGATTTGTACAATTTGTATTTAAATGATTTTGTACATAAAGTAATTAATCCCGATTTTGCTTTCTTCTTATTCGTATATAAAGTAATTAACTAATCCCGATTTTGCTTCCTTTTTATTTTTGTTAGTTTATCAATTACCAAAAACAATATTCAGTGCTTTGAACCCGTTAACAAAACAAAAGAATGGGTTAACACAATTTGTCGATAAAGTCCGCAATCATTTAGTTGGCAACCCAGTAAAACGTGTGCCTCATTACCACGTCAATTTCTCGACATTTCGTTGTTCCAGTGACTCACGTTCGTCGAAAGCGTTTAAAAATCTTGGCAGCTGGACGAGAAACGTTTTTCCTCTAATTTGTTACTGACTGCTTTCGAACGACTACAAGAAATAGCTTTGTCAAGACATATGTTTAAACTGTCCATTGATGTTCCTCCAGTGTGAATAGCAATTTCCGGTTACGCGCACTAGAGTCTTCTGTTACATCGCTATTCCCGACAGTAAAAATATTTGCATCAGAATAGATTTTATACAATCTATTCCTATGATTCACGTTGCTTAAAGCGATTTGTTAAAAATTTTATAAACGAACTTTCTTGTGATTCATATGATTGTGATGTATCATTTGGTAGAAATTCTGAGGATTGAATTTTGGTTTCGAAATATAGCATGTGAGTATGTGTAAGTATAAGTACAATTCGTATGTAGATATTTGCTGCACAATCATATGTAGATACGTGCTACATGTATGCACACATGTACTAAATTTATTTACTACAATTAAAATTTATTTTCAAAGTTTATACCATCGAAAATTCTGAAGTCTCATAGTTTTAATATTTAAATTTCCAAATTTTAGTTTGAAAGTTCAAAGCTTGCAAATTCAGAAGGTTTCCAAATTTCAAAGTTGCAAACTTTTCAAATACCAAATTCTCAAGGCTCTAGAATTTTAAAGTCCTAAAATTAAAAAATTTCAAAGTCCCAAAGTACCAAAGTTTCAAATTTTCAGACTATCAAAATTTCAGCGTTTTAAAGTTCCAAATACCTCAAACTTCCAAATTCTAAAATCCCAAGCTCCAAAATTCAAAAATTCCAAAATCTCAAAATCCCAAAGTTCAAAATTTCCAAAATTCTCACATCCCAAAATCCTAAAATCCTAAAATTCAAAAAGTCGTCCTATCCAAAAATCTTAAAATTCTAAAACCCTAAAAAATCCTTAAAAAGCCCCAAAATCCAAAAATTCCAAAATCTGAAAATCCCAAAGTTCAAAATTTCAAAAATTTTCACATCCCAAAATCCTAAAATATTAAAATTCAAAATTGTCATCCCATCCAAAAATCTTAAAATTCTAAAACCCTAAAAAATCCTCAAAAAGCCCCAAAATCGCGAAATGCAAAAATTAGCACGTGACTCATTCAGTTAAAACTGCCAGACTGGGCGTCTGCACGATCGTTTTTTGTAAAGCAATTATGTAAATTTGATATCCAACAAAGTGCAGATAATATGTACTTTGAACAGGTGTGCGATTAATATTTCATAAGCGTGAATAGACTGTCGATTTATGATACCATCGATGCGTTATATGGTAGGAATTCGTAAAACATTTTGAAACAAAACAAACTTCTCCAAAGTTTCTTTCACGAAGCTACTTACAAATATATCATTATTAATTCTTATATATTGTTAATTCATTTTTGAACGAAATATTAAAAGAGGATTTTTAATTCTTCATTGTCACACTGGAAAACGATCTCAACTAATTTAGCTTCAATTTTAACCACCTGATTAAGTACCTTTTTTGTAAACATCGGTATTTTGATTATTTTTGTTCTCAACGAGTGTTTAGATAAAATTTAGCTCTCAAAAATCGGAAAAAGTTTTGAAGTTTTCTGTGCAAACCGTCATTTTTTTTTTTATTTTCTTATGTTTTTGAATTTTTGTTCGTATCTCTGAAATCACTTGTGAAAAATGGTAGAACAACTTTCAAAGGTTATTTATAATTTTTGTCAAGTTAAAATAATTTTCTTCTTGTAAAAAACATTTGGGCTGGGTCTCGAACATCCCAAAGTGCCAGGTTATTCTGATAAAGTGATTGCAGTAGTACTGTACAGTAGTACTGTATAGTTAGGACTCAAATCATTTATGGTACACATAAAGTCAGTAAAAACCAAACTGTTCTAGGGCGCCATATTTTTCAGACCATATTAACTGTAGTTAACCCTCATGCTGTAACTTTGTCCCCAAAAATTAGAATTTTTTTCAAACTATCTGAAGAACCAAAGCATTAATCCAGCCTTCCTTTATTTTCTATTTCCTCCCTCTACAGCTTACGTCGGATTGGTAAAACCACCATTCCATAACTAAAAAATTGTTTACTTCACACATACCAAAATGTAAAAATATCAGAAACGATTCAACATTCAACTAAGTCACTTTAAAACCTACTAAAAACCTATTGCTGAATAAATTCAATCAGCACCTTACCTATATTGTTAATTTTTCAACCTATCTTATGCAGAAACGAGTTCACACGACACATTGGGTGCAACTATCGTGTTGCCTTTAAGAATCAACGAGAAGAGCACGATATAATATAGTGATGTTAAGTACTCACGTTATCATTTTGGAGCAGACTGTAGGAATTGTTCGAAGGTCCTGGACTGGGTGATGTGAGCTCTGAAAGTTTGCTGGGAGACAATTTCTCGCTGTTTGCACCCTCTGCACTGTCGCTGCTTCCACTTCCGCTGAAAATGTAATAGTGTTCATTAAAATCTGTTCTAACCATTGTCCTTCGTTACTTTTTGCTTTTAATGTTACAAACGCTGGTTGTAAAATAAATAACTTTCTGACTGCAACGCAAGGTAGATTGGATAGAAAATTTTTTACGCAATTATAAATTTTATTTGAAAAGTTTTTAAATATTTTTTTGAACAGTTGGTTGTAAAATCAATAACTTCATGACTGCACCAAAATGTAGATTGAACAGAAAATTTGTTACACAATTGTGAATTTTATTTGAAAAGTTTTTAAATATTTTTTTGAACAGTTTTTTCAGAAAATTAGTTATTGATAAAATTGATAGTTTACGTAATTTTTTGTTGGACAATTTGAAATTAATTTTTTCAAAAATAAAAATTGTATATGTTTAAAGAATAATTTAATTTTAATTGTGAAAATTATTAGTTGATAAAATTGCACCAGTAAAGATATTCAGTTTAATAATTTGAAATCAATCTGTTTCAAAATATAAATTACACAGATTCATAACACAATTAATTTATTTTTGAAAATTACAACTTGATAAAATTGTATAAGACAGGTTGGAGATATTGTGACTAACATATTGTGAAATAAATCTTTCTAAAAATAATAGATTTATGACCAGTTTGTCTTCCTGATCAAATTTCTTCACTTTTCCTTAAGCTATTGTCACAAAAGATCTAAATTAAATTTTTTCAGAAACGTATAAATAAACGTAAAACAATGATTCGCTGACGGAGGCATCCGTAACACTAAAAATAAAAATTCAAAAGGTCCCGCAATTTTACAAGAATCAATGAAATTATCAAATAAAAGAACTATTAAATTCGAAAGAGATTTTCGATAAAATTCGCGGAAGTAACGTTCATAAAAATACATCAATGAAATTCGTATGAGATGTTGAAGTCGATAAAAAATTTTAATAAGATTCACAGAAGAATCTCAAGTTAATTCACAAAATATCAAGTGAATTTATAAACGATCTTCTATTAGAGTTAAGAAATGATTCTCAACTAAATTTGTAAAAGATTTGCAACAAAATTTATGAAAGAATTTCTACCAAAATTAAGGAAAGATTTTTTTAACAACATTTACAAAACATTTTGAATTAAAATTCATGAAAGATGCTCAACAAGGTTCATAAAACATACTAAACTAAATGTACAAAAGATCCTCAACCAAAATTCATGAAATATTCTTAATTGAATTCATAAAAGAATTTCAACAAAATTCACAAAAAGTTCTCAAAAAATTCATAAAATATCTCCAATTAAATGTACAAAAAATTCTAAATCAAAATTTACAAATGAATTTCAATTAAATTTACAGATTCTTAACTTAAATTAAATTCAAAGATTCTTAACTACATTCACAAAAGTATATCAACAAAATTTATGAAATATCTTCAATTAAATTTATGAAAGATTCTCAACAAAAATTCACAAACGAATCTCAACTGAATTCACAAAAGAAACAAAGTCCATGAAAGATTCTTAACTAAATTCACAAAAGCTCCACAAAATCCACGAAAGAATCTCAACAAACTTCAAAAGAACCTCAACCAAATCCACGAATTCTCTCCACAATATCCACAAAAAGAATCTCAACAAACATCACGAAACCTCAACCAAACCCACGAAACCTCCGCAAGAAAATCCACAAAAGAATCTCAACAAAATCCACAAGAGAGTCTCAACAAACTTCACAAAACCGCAATCAAATGCACAAAAGGACCTCAACAAGTTTGCCAAAAGAGCGTCGACAGAATTTTCCACCTATCCAACGTTCCTCCAAAAAAAGGAAAGATTTAGCTAGCGATGAGCCACGACGTTTACCGGGAACCCATAAACACAAGGTGGACCGAAGATACCTCGAATTATAGTAACAAACTCCCCAAAGTTACATAATGGTCACCTTGTGTACGCGCACTTATCGTTGAACTTCAGTCAGACGTGTCTCGTCTGAAAACAAGGTAAGAAGGTGTTCTATCTGGCGAAGGAGGATCGGTACTAACCAGCCAGACCATAGCCACGGCAGGTATTATTAAAACCTAACAAGTACAAAGTGACTTGGGTCGACCGGTTCGACGGTACCACCAGCATGGCATTTAATTCTTCTACAATGTTCAACGTGGCTTGACGACACTCTTTCCGATCCCGTTGCTATGGCAACGTTGTCCTTGACCCCCAAGAACGGGGTCATCTTTTCAGTTCCGTTTGCTCCTTTTGCCTTTGAGCCCGTTCGTGGATGTGGTCATTGTTCAGAATACTGAGATGTGCTCTTGTCTCGCGAGTATACTTGCACGCATAATTTATGGGAATACACGCTTATTTTAATGCTGTGGGTGTTTCGCGTGGGACTCGTAATTAGAAGGTGCTGTTTGGTTTAATTGGGGACTGGAATTTCTTTTGTTGGTTTTTGGTGCAAGGTAGTGCAAAGGTATTTTTGATCGGAGGATGTGCAAGGTTTTTAGAAGCAGTAAAATTCAGAGTTCAAGATACTGAAATTTTTGGAGTTCAGTAATCATAAAATTTATAGAGTTTGAATCTATCAAGGTTTTAAAATGGTACATTTTTAAATATAAAAAATTCAGAAGTTCAAGATAGTGAAATTCAAAAGTTTCAATGTCACAAACTATAAAATTCTAACGTCCTAAAATTTAAAGAATCTGAGGATGAAGTCTCCAAGTTCTAAAGACCCAAAAAAGAATTCTAGTATTTCAAGACTTTAAAGTACCAAAATCTTAAAATTACAAAGTGCCTAAGCTTCAAAGTATAAAACTTAAAACATTGCAATGTAATAAAGTTCTACAGTAAACATTGAGAATACGAAACTTCAAAGTCATACATTTCAAACATTTCTATGTTCTAAAACTCCAGACTTGTAAATTCCCAAAATTAAAAAATTTCAAATTTCCAGGTCAACTATTTGTACCTTGTAATTTTTTAAATATGTACTAGACATACTATAACTTATAGAAATATAAATTATTACTATTGCTAATATACCGTAATAATCGCATACATAATATATGCCATATACATAAAATTAAATTACCGTTCGTAAAATCGTAAAAGTACGAGGAAAACTCACAAACAACGTCTTCGAATACCGCGAAAATGAAGGTCCAAAGGTCGACAGCAATTTTCGCAGAGCCAATCCTTGCTGGCAACGTAAATACGATTGCTAGTGATAAAAGTGATCAAATTGCAGCCTGTGATCCTAGCCTCGTTGAAAATGGACGCGCCCACCTCCCTCGCGTTCATCGTACATTATCGTCCTTTTAGCACACCCTCGGCCAGCCTAATCCCATCACTTGAAATTCTTTTAACACGACCTTTGGCAGATTTTCAACGACGCAATATTTCATACGCGATGAACCATCCGCACGATGACACCATCCTCTCCGAGCAAATATTTTCTTCCTCGTTTCAATGGATTCCGCTTTCGACATCGAATAACGCCCGAATCAGCTCGATGAATAATATTTCCATACTAATAACAGACACGTCACGGGTTTTAACTGTTGTTCGAAATTCGATGACTTTCATTCATAATTTCACCGAAGATTAGTTTTTCATTAGTACATTTGATAGTTCAATCACAATTCCTAGTTCAATAAGTTTAATCACGTTAGAATCTTCCATTTGATATTTTACTCGAGTCGTTTGATGTTTGATTACTTGATGTCTGAATCACAAAATTTTAATTTGACGTGTGAATCGAGTGAACATCGGCAATTTTATTTTTGACGATTTTTATTAGGACAACTGATTATTTAACGGAGCGAAGAATTTTTATATCTTATGAAACGTTTCACTTTTTATCGTTTTTTTGCCACAGTCTCGATCGATTCCTGGGACTTTCTACTTCATACTGCTCCTCGATAAATCTTGCGGTTGCACAAGACTTTTACGAGTGCTACCTATCAAATAAATCAATCTTCACACTCGACCCATGCTGCGTGCCTCTTCACTTGCTTTTCATCATTGACTTTCTTCACCAAACACTGCTCAAACGTTTCATTCCGCCTGGATGATGAAACGGTATTCTAATCTCTTCATCGTGGTATATTTAAGAAACAAGTTATCGAGGAATTGACCAAGACCGATGCAACTTCCAAATGTTTATCTTATCAGAAAAAATGAATTTCTTTCACAATGACTGTGGAAAAATCTTTTCTTTAAATTATTAGAGAGTGCGCGATTTTGTAAATAAAAATATTCTCTTTTTAGGATTAGTTTAATTTTGATTTGAATTGAGGAAAAATTGCAAATTACAAGTTGAGGAAAAAAAAATTATTCAGAGGGCTAACATATAACCTTGCTGCTCTTTGTGCAAAGTTCTCTTTTGTCATAAAATTAAAATACTCTGTTTATTCAGTTGACTCAATTGTATCAAAATTAATGATAAAATTAATGACAAAATTTTGTTCATAAATTTTCATAAAACTAACATACTCTGTTCACTCAGTTGACTCAAGATTAATAACAAAACCATTGATATAATAATAAAATCTGTACTGTAACACTGAAAATATCAGAACTGTAGTATGCATCTCACAGATAAATTTTTACACATACATTTCATGGAATTCCCACACAAAAACATTTCATAGATAAATTTTTGCAAAGAAACATTTCACAGATAAATTTACAAAAAGATACACAGACAAATTTTCACATTAGTCAACAGAGTCTCTGAATATTATGACATAAACCTATTATCTCTACCACTAATTAAAATGATTACCCAATGATGATGTCACACAATTTCAAACCACAGCCCAACAATCATTACTTTCAAACCACAATCCACAATTTACCACAGTTCACGTGTCAAACAATATCGAATCGATTAATAATATCAATCAATTTCCTGGCGGAAACCGCAGGTATCACGCGTTCCCCGAAATCGTTGCAGTGTGTACTCAAAGGTGTATCTTATCGAAGTTCTCCATAGAGGCTTCTCATCAACTACTCTGTTCTATCGAGCGTTGTTTCATCGGCGAAACGTATCAACTATGTTGGTCGGCCGCGGAAAGGCAGCTAGCTGCAACAGATATCGTATCAGCAGATAACGCAACACCCCACCCACCGATGTCCAAGTGACGAGCAGTGCTGATAAAAGCGTTTTATTGCGGCTGCCAGCGCAATCAGCCTCTGTTAATCAGCGATTGCGAACGACGATTCGATTGGGCGCTTCCTTGGCCGCCTCGGATCCGACGACAACAACACGCTTTCTCGCTTTTGCCAAGGCTACGACACCTTTTACTCTCGATGGATTCCAGTTTAGTGAAACTGGCCGATAAAAGAGAGACGCGTCTACGCAATTCTTGCCGCGTGCCAATGACAACCAGCTGTGACTTGCACAAGAAGTCCGTTCCATTTAATGGCGAATAACGTTCGCTATCTTCCACAATGTTAAACCAAGGTAATTTAATTCCTAGCTTCCGAGGTAAACATTTCTTGGACAATAAAGTGCGAGGGGTCACTGCATTTGGGGTCATATCCTCCGTCGTTGATTGACTAGTTATCCAATTTAATAAACAAGTTATGCAATTTGTTCGGGTGAACCTCGAGATACCTTCTTAGATTTTTATTTTTACCTTTTTAGATTTTAAATGTTGGAAAAATATTTTGTATATTATAAGATATTATAAGATAAATTTCTTTTGCTGTTATATTTTGTTGACGAAATTCTGGGTTTGATATTTGGGTTTAAATAGCTTTCACGCTGATAATTTTTAGTGGCGGAAGGCGTTTGTTTGCAGTGTTCCACTGAATAGCTTCATGGATTTTCTATCGCTGGGATTATAGATAAGACACGTTCCATTACTTCGGTGACGTGTAACACTCACACAAACTTGACTAATATTTGTCTAATTTTGAAACGTTAAATGTCTACAATGACGTGACAAATAATAATTATGCTACAAGTAATTAAGGCTTAAAGTTCAATGGAAATAACTGCGCAAATTCCTGATAAATATTTTTAGTATGAGTGGTTGCTAAAGATAGCAAACTATGTCATTGTTAACCATCTAATTTCGAGAAACATCTAAGACAATTTCATGACAGAAAAGTATCACAAAATGCCAATTATGATACATCAAAATAAAGCTTGAAGTTCTACGGAAGCAACTATATAAATGCCCCATTAAAATTTTTGAAAAATTGTTGGTTGTTAGTTATAGCAAATAAAATATTTGCATTAATTCATCACATAAAAGTATTTTAAAATATTATTTATGTTACATGAATTTAAAGATGAAATCTCAGTAAAAGTGATGATATCAATGCCCTAATAATATTTTTAACATAGAATGACTAATTGCTAATTATAGTAAACAATGTCCTGTATTGTACTCAATTATTTAATTTAAAAACGTAAAAAGTCTGAAAGGATTTCATCACATAAAAGTATTTTAAAATATTATTTATGCTACATGAATTTAAACCTTAAACTTCAGCAAGAGTGACAATATCAATGCCCCAATAATATTCTAAATATAAAATGACTAATTGTTAATTATATTAAATGTTTTGTACTGTATTCAATTATATAATTTAAGAGTGTAAAGTATGAAAAGATTTCGTCACATAAAAGTATTAAAAAATGAACTTATGCTACATCATTCTATAGTTCAAAGTACACTGTAGACTACGTTAGAATTAATTAATACCCTTGCAAATAACTTGTTGTCACTTGTAGCAAATAATACTGCAAAGTCTAATTGCAACTGTAGCAAACAGTGACGTAAAGTCTAATAAAAACAACTATATCAAGCAACATAGTATTATAAGACTCTGACATGAAAGTATTTCAAAAATACCTCTCACAATAAACGAAATTAATGCTTTAAGTTTGAAACATTGATCCGCTTGGAAATGGTTCAATTAGGTATGACTCACCTTTCTGTTGGTCCCGTTGAATAACTGGACGATTCTTCTCCAGATTCTACGCTGTTGAAAGAAGTACAATTCATCTTCCTTTCTTCCCATTGTGACCGAACTTCGTCTTGAACTCTTCGTTTCAGCTCCTCCACTCTTCGTCTTTCTTCCGAAATTACTTGGCTACCTAAACACACAAGGTAAATGATGTTAGCGTGCATACAGTACAAAGTATAACATCAAAAAAGCTATATGCATATGAATAAAGTCTATAAAAAACTATTGCGTGTCTATGTGTCACGGATAAAACATTAATTTTTTTGTATGTATCTATTTTAAACGATAATAAGTATGCCAACCTTGTTTTGCTAGATGAAGCTGTCGATTTCTCTCAATTTCCTTGAGGGACTCGATAGTTTTCCTTCCCAAGCTGCCCTGATTGTTTACAATGGGAGAGTCAGTGGTGACCCTGGAGATCCTGTCGAAGTCTTCCCTGCTCGGAGATCGTTTCTCTTCGCTGTTCTCGCAACAATTCTGCGCCAACTTCGTCAACTCATCGTTTATCGCTCTAACTCGGTTTCGACCCTAAGAACAATAAAGTAAACATTTTAATCAACAGTCAATGAGTAGACTATTAGAATTGAAGAATACGGAGATACTGACTTCTTCTAACCGTTTCAAATGCGCTAACTTTTGTCTCTCGAGGCTCCTGGCATCTTTAGTTGCCGTGCTTTTCGCTTCAGATCTCTGCGATTCCAGGTGGTTCAGTCGAGCTTTTCTAGTCTCTATTTTGGCCGTCAGTTCACTCAAATATCTGAAAAGAACAAGGTATTGATTACTCATCAATTAAATTTATATTTCATAATATAGTACGGCGTGTCAAATTACACGTATTCAAATGTAGAACTTCTGATAAAATTTCGTGAAAGTATCACAAAATGGAACTTCTGATACATTAATTTAAAGTTTAAAGCTTGAAGAAAATTATGATATAAAGATTCATTAATATTTTTAATATAGAATGGCTAGTACCTAATAGTAATAGACAAGGTTTTAGACTAAATATTCATCTTTGACATGTAAAAGGTGTAAAAAGATTTCATAACATAAAAGTATCACAAAATGGAACTTATGATATATCAATTTTAAGCTTGAAGTATACCAAAAACAAGTGCATATTTGCTCCATTAACATTTCTAACGCAAAGTAAGTAATGCTTCATTGGAATATAAAGTATATCTCCATACTAACAATAAATTATCAATACATTTACTTATTGTTGATTTCAATGATAAATTACAAATATTGAGGAATTTACACAGAAATTTTTGACACTTTAAGCTTTAAATTGGTACCACAAGTGCTGTTTTAGGATACTTTTCTGTCATGAAATTGTACAATAGATTCACCTTTGTAATTCTTCTCTAGTAGCAAGTTTACTCGCTTCCTCTTCAAGATGGTGGAACTCGAGGTCTTCGAACGCCTTCCTTTCAGACTCGAGGATATCCTGTTGTGCCATGAGTTTCTCGCTAACTTCCTGCTGCGTCCTTTCGTCCGTGCAATTCACCAGTTCCTCCTCTAAACGACTGCAAGCCTGTTGAGCTCTCTGAACTCTCTGTTTCGCTTCCGCTTGCAAGTTCGCTTGTGTCGTGTTATCTTCAGCCATTTGTCTCTCCAACTCGTTGATTCGCATCTGCACCTTTATTTTTTCACCTTCGTCCTGGTTCAGTTTCAACGACTCTGATTCGTACTCCGCCGAGAGCAGTGCTTTCTCTAATTCGAGCTGTTATGCAGAATTTAAATAGAAAATTTATTAATAAAGTATTCCACGATTTTGTTAATAAAATAATTAATAACTATTAATAAACTAATTAATCTATTCGAATACCTGTTTTAAGTGTTTGCATTTTGCAAACCCGAAACAGAATTTCTTCATTTTTTTGTTTTTAAAGCGTCTGATGCAGTCAAAGGAATAAATACGACTGAAGGAAATTGCGGACCAACGAGAAAATTGGAAGGGACTTATCGCGAAATGCAAGAAGACAAACAAATTTTAACTGGAAGGCAAACCCAGATAAAGAGATAACGCTGTTGATTATCCTTAAACTTCGAATACATTGCCGGAACCTAATTTCAAAGCCGTAACTATTCGTTTATCGGCATTAGAAGATCTGAATTATTACTGTACAAGGGTAATTTTATGTACAAAGTAATGTTAGGTTTATTTTGGAGCCAATTTGGTATTCAAGTAGGGATACTTAGATGATTTCAAAACTTACAAATTTAGGACTTTGTAAATTTTGAAAATTTTACATTTTTACATTTGTGTAACGACTCTGGAACCTAGGTTCATTTGTAAATATACAAATTGAAATCTTTAAATTTTTAAACATGCAAAAATTTAAAATATCTAACTTCCTAAATTTTTGAGGCTAAAATTTTAAAAATGTCTAAATCTCTAATTTTAATATTCTCAAACTTCCAAATCTATAAAAACTTCAAAATAACTTTCTGAACGTAAATTAAAATTTTTCTAATTCAATTACATTCAAGTCACATTAACTTTGCTCAAGCTTAATTTACCTATCCTAGTACCTTTTAATCCCCACCTGAACATAGCCAACATTTTCCAACACAATTCAACTACCATTCAATTACACGCTTCCTACATAAACCTAATCTCTACAATTCCAACATTTGCATTAGAAATAACTGAGACCACGAACCTCCCTACTAATTTCTTCTTCCTGTATCTCAATATCCGCTACGCTCCTCTTTAAAGCGTCCATATTTCCAAGGATGTGTATTTTCTCATTTTGAAGGAATTCAATATACTTCTTCCTATCCTCCTCTTCGAGCTCCTTTCTCTCCTTGTCAGCCTTAGCCTCGTTCGATTTCGCGTTGTCCTTCTCAGAGTTATTCTTCTTGGGAATCGTGCAAATTTCTTTGGACTTTGAAAGCATGGAAAGCTGCTCGATAGCCTCTAGAAGGTCGTCGTTCGATATGGCCAGCTTATTCTCTATCATCTCGCAGGAATTCGACAGCTGGCCATTCTTCTTTGGCATGGAATGATTGTTTTGATTGTTGTTCTGCACGGGTCCTATCACCACGTTCTCGTACAGACTTAAATTTCCGTTCATAGAATTATTCTGCTGCGCTGGTTTGATTCTATTTCCATTCAGTTGTATCGTTCCATATGTAGACGTTTCTTTCGTGTCGTTTTGTGCGTAACTGCTATTGTTATTATTTAACATTGAACTATCAATCATCGCGTTCTCGTAGCTGGAGCTACGACCCTGCGAGACCGAATTCGAAAAGCTATGGTCCCCGTTGCCATGAACGTTTGGCCATTTAATCGATTGATTATTGTTCGGCGTGGTCGATTGAGGATGATCCTGCATGCTCGTTAATGGGCTGTCCCCTTGAGTGCTTTGATGTCGGCGATTGTTCGGTGAAGTTCCGTTTTGAAAGACTACCTTTGAATTCTGCACGCACACGTTCTCGTACGATGCTGAATTCGAGGGTGGTTTTATGGAGTCGAAGGAGAAATGGGGCTGATTCTTCGATGGACTTTTTGGACTGTCGAAAGGGGAACTGTAGCCCAGCCTTTTGTCCCGTGGAAGAGAGCCGTTTGTTTTGATTCTGTGAGAGAATATAGAACATTACTATTTATTGTAAAAATAATACATATATACTATTATAGGAATAAGACGTAACAAAATAGTATTTATTAATGTTTGTCTATGTTACATATGATTATATAGTTGAAAGAAGAGACGTAGGATACTGCGACCAAACCACATATCATATTAATAAATACTCAAGTTTACTTGCATTTAAAGTAAATCTCTAATATTCTCTATTCAAGAATAAAAGCTATGTACCACATTCATCGAACACACCTATTAGGCTGCCTTGGTTTCTCCACAGTGCTCTGTCTCTCGTACTCGGCACACATAGCCAGGATCTCTTCCAGCCTCATCTTCTCCTGTCTTTCAATCTCCTGTTCCCGTAATCTCTCCTCCTGCGCCTGTTTCCTCCTGTTCTCCGCCTCCCTGCGTTTATTTTCCGCGTCGATCTGTCTCTCCCTGAGCTCCTCCAGGGAACACCCACTCCCAATGCTCGGCGTTGGGCTCTTCACTCTCACAAACCCTCTCTTAGGCTCATTGTACTTCGGATTGCGATTGAACGCCGGACTGGGTGGCTGTATCCTCTTGATATTCGGGTTCGAACCGAATCTGGGTGCCTCCGCCATGTTCCTCATACTCCCAGCATAATTACCGTTACTCGAATTGTTGCAGATGTTGGGATTCGAGCCGAACTTCTCGAGCTGAAGGTACTCGGTCGTGGTGGTCTTCGTGACGATCAGACTCTGGCTCATGTCGAAATCTCTGGAGGCTAGCTCGTCAAGGTCGTTGGACCTCTGACACGTGAAGCTTCGAGACATCATGTCAGCCTGGTTGGCAGTGTTCTTCGTGATCAAGTTCTGGGTACTCTGACTGTTCTCGTTGTTGTTCTCCCGGTAGTACGGTTTATAGCTTTTCAAATACGACTCAGCGTTGGAGTACACCTGGATCTGGTTATGATTGGGCGTGGAACAGTTCTGGTACTGTAGATTAGGCGTGTTGCACCTGCTAGGAGTCCTCTGATGGTTCTCGTCACTGCAGTGGTTAGGAGACGAAGAGGCGAAACAATTGGCAGGTGAGGATGTGTTTAAAAAGTGACCAGGTGAGGACGCGTTGAAGGAGGGAGTGTTCGAACGACTTCGATCCAAATTCGTCAGGTTCTGCAGAGGCGAGTTGTTCCCGTTCTTCAGGGAAATTAAACTGGAGGATCTGGAATGGCCCAGGATTTGATCAGCTGGCACGTTCGTGGTGACAGCACCAGCTGGAAACACCTTCGGAGAGACGCAGTTGTTCCTGCTCTGCTTTGCTAGCATCTCAAATTTCGTGAGCTTTCCTAGGAAACCGATTTCGTCGTCCGAACAGGAGTTCCTTGGAGACTTTCGGGGAGCCACCGGAGGTTTTCGTTCTAGATGGTAATTCTCCTGCTGTTGGTTGTCTGGGAGGTTGAAACTTATGGGCGCCATGGAGATTCTTGAGTGCGGCAGCACGGATCGCAAGTGTTTCGCCTCGGCTGGATGGTTGAAGCGCATGTAGTTCGATCTTCCGATTGACAGCATGCAACCTACAATAAAATCACGACAAAATTAAATGATATTTTGAGATAGTTTGCTATTCGGTTAATTTGATTGTGTTGTTGATGTTAGAACCAGATGTTACGTACCTGATAGTGAGTTAGGTGAGTTTAAGTACTAAAGATTATTTAGGTGTAGGTCTGATTTGAATACTTATTAGTACGGTATTTATATTATAATGAATATTAGTTAAAAATATTGAATTTCAGTCCTCACTACTCAACAACAAATTAGGTTAATTAACTAGGAGTAGTATATAAAATTGTCTACTAATTTTTCCTATTTCCAAGAGTTTCAAAATCGAAAAATAAATCCACCAGTGTCGATGAGTCATATTTGGTGATTCGTATGTAAGTCAAGGTCTTACCTTGAGCAAGTCTCACTGGCGAATTTATTGGTACACCATCGACAGCCGTGCTTCCATTTATGGGGTGAAGAGTGACCACGCCGTTTTTATTTTCAATCGTGCAATGAATGGATTCGACGCCGGTACCAACCACAGAAATGTCCGCATCTCGACTTGATCCTAGTGTTAACTTACCTAAAACAAAATAATAACAATCGTGCCAAAATATTATACAAAATAAACGGGCAATTTACAAATTTACACTGTGGGATAAAACAATCACATTCCTTAAATTTCTGAGGATGTATTTTAAGCGACCGTAAAAATATACTTAAAAGTATTAATAGAAATATACGGGAAACTAGATCGCTTTAAATAAAGAGTCATTGATAGAAAGTATAATTTAATACGGTATATTTCAGAAAAATTCTAGGACATGGAATTTATATGTTACACATTATGTAAGATACGTGTATCATGAATCGAAAGAGTATGAAACATTAAATACAAATGTATTAACAATTCCATAATCTAAATTTAATAATTAATATAATATACAAGGGATATTAATTCTAGTTATTACTCTATGTACGCATTATATATATTTATTCATCTCTTTATCTATCTATTTATCTGAATTTACAATATAGCTGTAGAACTTACAACTTACTAAAAATTGTTTCATTCATATCTCGTTAGGTGAGACACGTTGTATAATAGTCGTCTGGGTTACTTTTCAAGAAATACGACGCAATTTTAACTATGGAAACTAGATGGCAAGAAATCGGTGCCAACTTGCACGTATATAACTTGAAAGCCTTTAACTTGGAACGAAAGCGTTTGCGGAACTGTGTTCCTGCATGCTTTCATCTTCACAATTCACAGAGTTGGCTCTCGAATCTGAGCCAAGTATTTTAGAAGTACCGCGCGTAGAGGAAGAGAGAGTTGTTCATTGTAACAAACCGCGTTGCTTCCGAGACATTTTATAACAAAAAATTTCATTTGGTTTGTGTTGAGTAGAACATAGTACTAATTTTCAAAAGAAATGTGTCTAAAATATATATTTTCTGAAAATCCAAAGCTTCTTTAAGTTAGATTAAATAATTAGAGTAAATCATTTCAATTTAAATCTGGTTAATTTTGATATAGTCAATTTATATCGATTTATCGATAATATTTCAATATTATCGATGTTTTAATCTATCGATAATATAATGTGACAATGTTATTAATATACGAATTATCGATGACATAATATTTCGATATCATCGATATACCGAATTATCGATAATACAATATTTCGATACTATCGATGTATTGAATGATATAACGATATATTTCGATACTAGCGATATATTGAATGATGTATCGATATATTTTGATACTAGCGATATATTGAATGATGTATCGATATATTTTGATACTAGCGATATATTGAATGATGTATCGATATATTTTGATACTAGCGATATATTGAATGATGTATCGATATATTTTGATACTAGCGATATATTGAATGATGTATCGATATATTTCAATACTATCGATATATTGAATGATGTTTCTACATAATCGATTTATTGAATGATATATCGATATATTTCGATATCATCGATATACCGAATTATCGATAATACAATATTTCGATACTATCGATGTATTGAATGATATAACGATATATTTCGATACTAGCGATATATTGAATGATGTATCTATATATTTCAATACTATCGATATATTGAATGATTTATCGATATATTTCGATACTATCGATATATTGAATGATATTTCGACATAATCGATATATTGAATGATATATCGATATATTGAATGATGTATCGATATATTTTGATACTAGCGATATATTGAATGATGTATCGATATATTTCAATACTATCGATATATTGAATGATGTTTCTACATAATCGATTTATTGAATGATATATCGATATATTTCGATATTATTGATATACTGAATGATATATCGATATATTTGAATACTATCATTATACTGAACTGATATGATATGTATATCGATATATTGAACTATCGAAAGTATAACATTCCAATATCATCGATATATTAAATTCTCGATAATATAATACAATTATATCCATATATAAAGATTATAAATTATATATCGAATAATGTTTGTATTCATTTAATAATCTCTGTGTTCGTACATAAGCAGATCAATCCAATCGACCCTAATTGTATACAAATCTACACAATTACGTATACCTCTTGCAAATCATATACATTCTGCGTAAAACTAAAAAGACATGTTACAATTTGTGTATACGAATACTAGGCAAAGATTCAACCCCTGTCACGAATGTATTTTGAACGTTGCGTGGCGGAAGCTTTTCCAAAAAGACCGAAAATGTGCGAGAGTTGCACGACCGCGCCAAAACTAAATATAACTGCAGTCCTTTGTAGAATGCAACCACGATTTACTCGCTTCTTGCAGCTCGTGCTACGAGTTATTTCGCGCTAATGATCGGGCCGGCCTTTTCACGGGGAAAATCCTGTGAAAAGGACTGCGCTTCTCCTTTTTCATTAACACGCGATCTGTAATGATATTCGTGTACAAAAACGTACATTTGCGGTGCGACGTGTTTTTGAAAAGGGAACGGTACACGCATGGGAAATAATTGCATAGAAAACGACTGCGTTGACAAATTCGACTATTTACCGCCAACAGAATGAGGATCTCGTTAATTTAATATTAGAATTCCTTTCCTTTTCTTTTAAACCTAGTTAAATGTAAGGTAACTAAAATATGTAGAATTGCATATGTGTAAGACTGAATAGTTCAAAATGAAACACGTTATATGTATGATTCTAAAACGACGAGATAACTCGTCCTTCCTTGTTAACGTGGACTCGAAAGACATTTAAACAGCATCCAGTTACGTGAAAGCTTGTTTAAAGCAACACACGGTACTTTTGTCCGGTTGAACGTGTTAAAAGCTGTTCAAACAATGACGTCGGGCAAATCACAGTCGGAAAACGAGAAACAGGAAGATTACTTCCTGCCGGTCGTTTAGTTTCACGATCGAGGTCGAATTTAATGCAGGTAAATCGGCCTTTTGTCGATATCTATCCGGTGGATCTTTTTATGAATCATTACGTTTGCGGAGATTAATGATGTTTGTAATGGTTGGATAAGAACTGGGATAAAATGATATAAGCCAGAAGCATTGAAATTATCGATATTTAATATTTATCGATATACGAATAATATTAATATACCGTAATGGGAATAATTTTTCGTTCGAATCTATTTTTGTTCATATTTACAATCGAGGTTAATATAACGTAATTATATAATTTAAATCTATTTATGCTTATTTAATTTTTGTAATTAACTGAATCTTAATATGACATAATTTTGTTATTAATATGTACTTAACTCCAAATTGGACCTAATCGTAATTGAACGTAATCGAACCTAATAACCTAATCTAATTTGATTGAAATTTATTTATATTTTTGTTTCATCATCAAACTGAATGTAATCTAATTTGACACACAATTTAATTATCTATATTAATTTATTTCTATTTAAACTGAAAACTTAATTCAATATTATGGATGTATCGAACTATTGATATTATTGCGATATTATCGATACATAAAATTACTGATAACATTTTTATCTTATTAATGCATCGAACTATTGATAACATTGCCATATAATCAACATATCGAACTATTGATAATATTTCGATAGAATCGATACGTCGAACTATCGGTAACATTTCGATATTATCGATAGATCGAATTATCGATAACATTTTTTTCATTGCGATACTATTGAACTAACGATAACATTGTTCATAACATTTCGATATTATCGATGTATCAAACTATCGATAGCATTTCGATGATATCGATATATCGAACTATCGGTATCACTTCGATATTATCGATAAATAACGTTATTGATAACATTTCGATATTATCGATGTATCAAACTATCGATAGCATTTCGATGATATCGATATATCGAACTATCGGTATCACTTTGATATTATCAATAAATAACGTTATTGATAACATTTCGATATTATCGATGTATCAAACTATCGATAGCATTTCGATGATATCGATATATCGAACTATCGATATCACTTCGATATTATCGATAAATAAAGTTATTGATAGCATTTCGATATTATCGATGTATCGAACCATCGCATTGTTATTATAATAATATCAATATAACAAATTATCGATATTTATCGATAATGTTACTCTTATTAGCGCCTCTAAGAAAGACTACTATTGATTACAAATCATAATCTCATCATTTTGCACTAAAACACAAATCAAAAAGTGTCAGCATTTTAAGCTAACAAAACAGCTATCCCAAATGTAAAAAGAAAAAATGCACCGATTTCAAACAAACGAATAGTTGCGGTAAAAGAGAATAATAGAACGAGAACGGTGGAAAAAAGGACGTCGCCTGAAAATACACGCCACTTTGAGGATTGACTCATGCAATAATTTATATTGCTCGGTCCGGTTCACTCTTTCCCTCCTCGTTTCCTTTCCTGTGCTTTTCTTCTCTATCTTTCTCCTTGTATGCACCGACTATATTTAAGTGCAACGTACCACGCTTATGAGACAGAACGTTCCTCGTGGGTTACTGTCCTCTCCTCCGACTCCCCTTCGTAAACGCCATTACGCCATTTATATACGGTGCACAGAGGCGTCATACTATGCACGTGCACTTCGTGAATGTACGAGGGCGCCTTCATAATTTTTTTTTTTTTCAAATTTTGTTACTGCATTTGTTATAAACGAACAATACATTTTTGTAGTGAAAGGCGGGTGAAATCTCGGATGCTTCGAGATACTGTCATAAAGAATGACGAAGTTTTTTTGTAGAAACAAGGATAATATGTTCACCTTCAAGTTTAATAAATATTCCTGAATTTTGAGACAAATGTGAACGTGTAAGGAAATACGAGATAAATTAATTTGAGTTGTTGGCAGTTAACACGTGGAGACTCATCGAGTTCGGGAAAGTGAAAATATTTCCGGAAACACGAAATCAAATTTTCTCGTTTCTCGGCGAACGATTCTTTCCGAGAACTGACTTCACACGAAGTTTATTTCTAACATCACAGGCCGGCTAAATCTACTCACATTGGGAAGAAACTATGGTTGAGCTGTCGTGATCTGGGTTTAATCAACGATAATCACGATTTCATGACAGAAATGTACTATAAAACAGTTCTTATACCGTATCAATTTAAAGCTTAAATGGTGTCGTAGATAACGCTGCGAAGGCACCATTCGTATCTTTAATACGAAATGATTGGTTGCTAATTATGGCGATATTATTTTATGGTGTACAATTATTCAGTAATGCAAGTCAAAGACAAATTCATGACAGAAAAGTATTACGAAATGGCACTTACGTTATATCAATATAAAGCTTGAAGTATAACAAAAATAACTATATAAGTGCCCCATCAATATTTCCCATACAGATTTGTTTATTACTAGTTGTGACGAACAATGTTTAATGTTACAACCAATTGTCCAATTTCAAAACTTAAAATTTCAAAGATAAATTCATGACAGAAAAGTATCACAAAATGGCACTTATGTTATATCAATATAAAGCTTGAAGTATAACAAAAATAACTGTATAAGTGCCCCATCAATATTCCTTATACAGATTTGTTAATTAATAGTTATAGCAAACAATGTTTAATGTTACATCCAATTGCCCAATTTCAAAACTTAAAATTTCAAAGACAAATTCATGACAGAAAAGTATTACAAAATGGCACTTATAATACACCAAATTAAAGCTTATGGTTTAACGAAAATGACTATGTAAATACTTTATCAATACTTGATATACACAATGAGTAATAATTATTCAAACACTGCATCACATCTATCTTCAAAATATAAAAAATTCAAAAACAATTTCATGACACAAAAATATTACAAAATGCACACCATCGATAAAAAGCTCAAACATTAACAAGAATAATATAATCGTCCCATTACTATTCCCGCTATAAAATGACTAATTGTTAGTTAGATCAGACAATGACCGGTTTCGAAACATATCAAGTCTGACACAATTTGACGAACGGCACTGTTTCACCATCAATTGAAAATATAAATAAACCGCGTTATTTTTATCGATACAAAGATCATAACCGCAGCCTTCAACGCGTCTGGTATCCGTAGAAAAATATGATTGTATCATCGTCTCCCGGAAAATTACAAAACATGTTACGAAATTTCTTCTTCCTTCGCGAAGCTTGCCTTTATTAACATAATAAGCTGGCGGATCGTCTCCTATTCGATTCGAATGCAAATATTTGTGCTTGGTCGACTGCTTTCCGGTTTCGACATCGATGCACGTGCTCGGAGGACCTCTCGGCTTCCTGCCGCGTCCACGATGTATTTTTAAATGTGAATTTTTCGCCCCCGAGCTTCTACGGCCGCGAGAAATTCCGGTTGTGATTATTTCAGGGATATATAGACTTACGAGGCCGGCTTATTCGCTGATGAGTTTTATCGAGTTAATTACGGCTCTAATTTTTAATTCCCGACTGCAATCTCGTTTTCGACGAAATTGCTCAGTTAGGGAAAATGCTTAAAATTACCTTTGACATTTTTACTTGTACAAGCTGAAAGAAATGACTATTTTTATTTTTGTCTAATTTTCAAACTTTCTAATGTGCCATTTTGTAATACTTTTATGTCACGAATCAATCTGTGAATTTTCACGTTTCAAAGTGAAATAATTTATTTAATGTACACATTTGTGTAACAGCACTGAAAAAATGACAACCAGTTATTTTCTACCAAGAACTGCAAACAATTCTCTACGCAGTCATTTTTGTTAAATATTAACCTTCAATTTGATGTATCACAAGTGCCATTTAGCGACACTTTTATGTCATGAAATTGTATTCTACTTTTAACGATTTGACATTATACTAAAATGACATTGGTTGCTTCGGGCGACCAGTCATTTTATATTAAGAATATTAACGGGGCCTTTATGTAGTCAGTTTTGTCAATCTGTAAGCTTTAAATTGATATATTATACGTGCCATCTTGTGATACTTTTATGTCATGAAATTATCTCGGACTTTATACGCTTCGAAATTGGATACGTCGTAGAGTAAAATGACACTGTCTTCAAGTGATGACCAGTCGTTTTAAGGATAATTAATGGAGCGTTTGTACAGTCATTTTTGTCATTGTTTAAGCTTTAAATTGATGTGCTACAACCGACATTTTAGAATACTGTCGTGAAATTGTCTCCGACTTTTAACCTCCTTTTGGAACTAGATATAGCACAATAACACCGATTGTTTCAGATGATGAACAGCTGTTTTATATTATCAATGCTAATGGGGGCATGTAGTCGTTTTTGCCAAGCGTTAACCTTTAAATTAGTGCACTGCAAGTACTATTTTGTCATGCTTTTATCTCATGAATTGGTCTTGGTATTTTTACATTTCGAAATTGAATATTTGAAAGTAATGCAATAACACTGATTGCTTCGAATCACGATTCATTATCTTAGATTAAGAATATTAGTGGGGCATTAGTACACGCATTTTTGTCAACCTTTGAACTTTCAATTGATACATCATAAGTGCCATTTGAAGACATGTCATGAAACTTATGTCACGAAAACATAAGATGTTTGATACAGTAAAATAACAATGGATACTTCAAATAATAGACACATTTATGGTAATAATGTCAACGAGGGCTTTAGGTAGAGTAATTTTGAGTACGTCTTAAGCTTTAAATTGATGTATCATAAGTGTCATTTTAAAATACTTTTATGTCATGAAATTGTGTTAGAACTTTTGGAGTCGAAAATTGGATATAGATTGTAATAAAATGACACTGGTTGCTTCAAATGACGACCAATTATTTTATGTTAATAATATTAACGGGGCCTTTACACATTTATTTCAGCGATGTGGGAGCTTTAATTTGATGTATCATAAATGCCATTTTATCATACTTTTCTGTCATGAAATTATGTTATAATTTTTCTGTTTGAAAATTAAGCGTGTGAAACGATAGAATGACACTAACTGCTTCAAATGAAGACCAATTAATTTACATTCAGAATATTAGCGGTGCATTTACATACGTATTTCAGTGATGTGAAAACTTTAATTTGACGTATTACAAATGCCATTTTGACATACTTTTCTGTCATGAATTTATGCTGGAAGTCGCAATAACGCGATAAACATTTTTTCAAAGATACCTGAACAAAATTTTACATGTTCAACCAACATTTTTTAATTTCTCGTAAAAATTAGATTAATTTTACCTTCTGCTAAGGGATGCAGGGTCACCGCCGTGGATAAACGGCCGCTTCCCATAGAAACGAGATGCGGTGCTTCCGTTTGTACTCTCAATGCTCGTCCAGCTTCGCGCACCTCAAGACCGGCTGTCGCCATGCCTGCGCAAAAAGACACTCAAATTACTACAAATAAACTATCAAACATAAAAACACGTACACAAAATACGACAATAACGTTTTAAAATACCTAAAAATTTTTAAATTCACTCATAACTTAATTATACAATTTATCTACGTTAAACTAACTTTCTTGCGATTCTATTCGTAAAGGGAAGAAAAAGGACCACGCAGCGACGAATAATCTCGTCGAAGTTTTACGAATGAGATCGATCTGGCGGTACGAGACGAGAAAAATAAGCGGCGAAGAAAGGAAACCGGTCTCAAGGATTTTTTTTTCTTTTCTTTCCTTTCTTCTTCTTCCTTCTTTCCTTGCCGTTCATCCCGGAGTCACGGGTCATGATAAATTAGTGGGTATGCACCGTGTGGAGGAGGCCGTTGTAGAAACTCAAGAAAAGGATTCCTCTTCTTTAATCCTTTGACGCTCAGAAATGAAATATAAGGGTAGAGCTCATTTTTTTATCCTGCACTTTCGATAGCGCACAAAATTAATTCACAACTGCGAGTCAAAGAATCAACAAACTTTTTCGATGTGCCATAAGATACTGGGACATTATTGTTTTTATTACATCACAGGGATACTGGGAAATTATTATTATTTATATTCTTATAAACTTTTCTGTAATTTTTTAAATTATTTTACATCATGTTATGTCAGAGAACTTTTTACCTCGATTCTGATTAAATTTTATGAAAATTAAATATAAAAAGAAAGAGAAGATAAATTTCATGGAACGTATTTATCAAAGTACTGCTGTTTATTATAATAAAAAGCATTTAATAATGCAAGTTATCAGAAAGAAGATAGAGCGTATAATTTTTCCTTCACCTTAGCAAGTTTAATCTTATCACAAATTGTGCATACATGTACCGTGTGTTTCGCACATCGCGTGCATCGCAGTCATAACAAGTTGTGGCATTGTTAGATTCTCGAAAGAATAAATTGTTCGATGGTAAGAATAACACGGCTGGAAGACATTATTTCCTCGTGTTAGAATACGATAGGCAAAGTTCAACGGGACAAGCCTAGCGTAATGCGCTTAATTAAAGTTGTTTCAACTCGTTAAGATCGTTCGCACGGGATGAACAACCCTATAAAACGATGGAGGTTTGTCGACAACTGGGACGACAATTTCCACTCGTGAAACTTTATTTCCATTTAGTATCGTTTCGAATTCTACGCTCGTTATTTCTCTCGCGATTTTAATATGCTCTCTTCTTACTACGATCACAGTTATGATAACATATAATTATGATTCTAATTTGCATTTAATACCGCTTGACTTACATATTTACTACTGTTTAATTTACGTAGAATTTACATATAATTTACGAATTTAGAAAAGATTTAAAAATGAAAAAATTGGATAAACTGAGGATTTGAATATTTGAGAAATCAGAAGTGTGGAGAATTGTTAGAAAATGTTATTGTAAGGTGTCATCAATATTATCTTTTGGTTGAAATTTTATTTTTACGACGTTAAATTAAATATGCAAAAGACACTTCTTAGCATATCACTCAACTGCATTTCAATTGATATTCTAATCACACAAAGCTCTTAATATCGTTTCAAAGGAACGATAAGATAATACTGACCTAAACAATTAACAATATACATTAGGTAAGCCATATTAGAAAGCTGCAGTCATGCTTTTCTATGAAAAACTCTGTATCTTAATTATTCAAAAATTTTAATAATGCAAGTTACAATAGATATGATTTAAAAAAACAATTTTATACTGAAACTATAAAAAACCAATTCTTTAATAGAATTTAAAAAAAAAAATCCATAGTATAATTTAAAAAAACCAATTTTATAACAAATTTAAAAAATCAATTTAATAATAAAGTTAAAAAAAACCAATTGTATAATAGAATTTTAAAAAACCAATTCCATAGTATGATTTTTAAAAAATCAATTTTATAACAAATTTAAAAAATCAATTTAATAATAAAGTTAAAAAAAACCAATTGTATAATAGAATTTTAAAAAACCAATTCCATAGTATGATTTTTAAAAAATCAATTTTATAACAAATTTAAAAAATCAATTTAATAATAAAGTTAAAATAAACCAATTGTATAATAGAATTTTAAAAAACCAATTCCATAGTATGATTTTTAAAAAATCAAATTTATAACAAATTTAAAAAATCAATTTAATAATAAAGTTAAAAAAAACCAATTGTATAATAGAATTTTAAAAAACCAATTCCATAGTATGATTTTAAAAAAATCAATTTAATAACAAATTTAAAAAATCAATTTTATAATAAAGTTAAAAAAAATCAATTGTATAATATAATTTTAAAAATACAATTCTACAATGTGATTAAAAAAATCAATATTTTAACATAACTCAAACAGTCAATTCTCTCATATCATTTTTAAGAAATTAATTTGACTATACAATTTTACAAAATAATTTTAAGAAATTAATTCCATAAGATAATTTAAACAAACGAAATCTATAATACAATTTTAGAACAACAATTCCAAAGCATAATTAAAAAAAATAAATTCTGTAAAAATTTTTTTTGAGAATTTAAAAAAATCATCTGTATAATATCATTTTAAGAAGACCAACATGATAGTATAATTTAAAAAAAAAGTTCTATGACAAAATTTTTAAAAATCAAATTTTTAAGTCAACTTAAATCAATAGTGTAATCAAAAGAAATTTAGTAACAAAAGAACGAATTTTCTAATATAATTTACTAAGTTTACTACAACCAAGAAAACTGAAGTTTACAATATAATTAGACGAAAATGTAAAGAATTTCTTAGCAAATGCAACTTTTCACAAGAAGTAACATAATGAAACGAGCAATTATGCAAACATTCGAGAAGATATGGGGCAAGGATGAGAAAGATGAACATTCCATAAAGTTTTTCGTAGGTAAAGCTAACAGTGAACTATTTTTAATCGTCAGCGTTAATCCTCTGCAATTTCAATGTAAACGAGGCTCGAAAAAGATTTCTCTGACACGACCAGCCTTGGTTTTTGTACGAATGAGCCGGTGACGTAACATCAAAAATATTAAATGTTTTCTTTTCAATATGGAACATGGTTTTTTCTTATTTTTTTTTATGAGCTACGACTTTCGATGATGTCAGTGACATTCAACGCGTCACGAAATTGTAAATGAACGAATCCGAGAGAGGCGCAAATACGAGGAACTGAATTTTAAAACAAACTAAAGCATTCGCGGAATTTGAAACTAAACTCGAGGAATGAAATAAGAAGAAAGAGGTGCTCGAGTGTTGAATGGCACGATTTTTTCAATTTCTCCGCGTAGAAAGCAAGTAATTCAGAAAAAAAGATTAATCTTGGGAGAATACAATCGGTTTTAATCCATTATCGTGTTTCGCGAGATTTGAACTACGCTTTCGACGAAGTTATTTTGAAACATGAATCCGTAGAAAGTTATGGTGGACTCTAGTTATATTGCAACTTTCGTATGGACGTCAATCGTTAAAGGTACATGGATAATTCGTATGAAAAGCCATTTATGGAGACGGATAAGTAGTGTCGTAAATTTCTTATCAAACACTGAACTGTAGGTTGCCTCGAGTTATATTGCAGTTTACAGTTCGCGTAACCACAAGGTATATTCAATTTTGGAAATTGTAAAGGAGTTCCGAATTTTTGGAAATTTTGGTAATTTTGGAGTTCTTGGTAATTTTGGAGTTCTTGGTAATTTTGGAGTTCTTGGTAATTTTGGAGTTTTTGGTAATTTTGGAGTTTTTGGAATTTGGAATTTTTGGAATTTGGAATTTTTGGAAGTTGGAAATCTTGGAATTTGGAAATCTTGGAATTTGGAAATCTTGGAATTTGGAAATCTTGGAATTTGGAAATTTTGG